TATTACTTACTTGTATGTATACATATTTTCGTATGTATGTATGTACATATATTGGTATGTATGTATTTGGATATATTGGTATATATATATGTATGTATATACATACATTGGCATGTATGTATGTATGTACTGTACATATATTGGTATATATATATGTATGTTTGTATGTACATATTTTGGGATGTATGTATGTACACATGTTGGTATGTATGTATATATCTACATATACTGGTATATATGTATGTATATACACACACACACACACACACACACATATATATATATATATATATATATTATATATATATATATATATATATATATATATATAATATGTATGTGTACATACTGATATGTATGCATGTGCATATATTGTATGTATGTATGTATATATATGGGTATGTATGTACGTATATATATATCGTATATATTGGGTATGTATGTACGTATATATATGGGTATGTAGTACGTATATATATGGTATATATATATATATATATATATATATATATATATATATATATAATATATTTATATATTGGTATGTATGTATGTACATATATTGGTATTATGTATATATGGACCTTTATTGGTATGTATGTATGTACGTCTGTATATACGTACATTGATATTGATGTATATGCATATATTGGCATGTATGTATGTACATATATTGGCATGTACGTATGTAAATATATTGGCATGTATGTATGTAAATATATTGGCATGTATGTATGTAAATATATTGGCATGTATGTATGTAAATATATTGGTATGTATATGTAAATTTATTGGTATATATATATATACATATATATAATGGTATGTATGTACGTATGTACACATATTAACATGTATGTATGTATGTACATGTACATATATTGGTATGCATGTATATATGTATGTACATATGTATATTGGTTAGTTTAACGTCATGTTCTCCGAGCAGTCGGTCAGACTCTCCTCCTTGCTCAGCTCGCCCAGCAGCGACGCGACGCCACAGTAGTTCATTTTGCCAAATTCATGGCCAAAACACATTCTTATAAAAATAGTGAAAAGATTCATGTGAAGAAAGCAATTCAAGATTAATAAGAAACAGTACACTGCAGTGTTTTACGAGTTTTATAAATATATGAAAAAAGAAAAAACTATATGTGGTCTATATACATTATCAATGCCATGATCACAAGAGAAGGCTAATGATGTTAATGCAGCCATTAATAATATTAAATAGGACAAGAATTTCATTGAATATATAATTATCCAGATATACTCATTACATTAGACAATATAAGTGACTTTAGTAAAACAGTAATACAACAAATGTTCAGCAATGTTAAGTAATGTTTTCAAATTATTAAGAAACAAAAATAATTATATGATTATATTCGGTATGAATATCTTGCAGAAATCTGCAGATTTTCATATAAAGAGAATTTTCCCCAAAAAACATTGTCTCGCTACGTTTGAAATTCCCGTTTTCTATGGACGAACGCAATACAGCAGTACTCACTTAGGTCATTCTTGTCATTTTATTTAGGTCAGCCTTTATGATTAGGTTAAGTTTAGTGTATTATCATCCCGATAGCGAATCTACATCCAAGTACCTGTTCTACTAATAGCTTAAAGCATGGTTGGATGTAGACCTTTATTAGTCCGGGAGCTAACTTAAGTTTAAATCACATGTCGAGTACATCAAACTTCGTATAAATAATATTTAGATTTCACTGATCTAGAATACATAGTTCTTAAGAGGATATCCGTGCTAAACCATTTACGAACGATATCAATAAGCGGGATTAATGAACGCGGCAAAGTCTCGAATGAAAACCATATATGCAATATTAAAAATAGCCTTCAAAGATGATAAGTAGACTCTTAGGCATTTGCCTCCTTCATAATGATACGTTTCGGTACTGCATTGGTAACATGATGACAGGAAATCACGGAATCAACGATGTAAAAAACGATAGGCCTACCTGGTATTTAGCCATTTAGCTTGCATTTGATTAAACGCGCTCACAAATCCTGCCTATTTTTATCGTTCTTAAAAAACAACACTTTAAAAGCATATATTGTTGATCAGTGGTAACTAAACAATAATCCTACGAAGTTTGATTGATGTACTCGAAATGTAAATTAAACAAAAAAGTAGCGCTCCTTAGGTTATATGATTCTTAAACTTATTTTGCACAATTGCATTGCTTACAAATGTAGTTACTGTGATCAGACTAAAACACTGAACCAGTGCAGTGTACTGTCTCTTATTAATCTTGAATTGCTTTCTTCACATGAATATTTTCACCATTTTTTTAAGAATGAGTTTTGGCCATGAATTTGACAAAATGGACCACTGTGCGCGCACGCCGCGCCGGCCAGCTACGTCCGCTTCCCAGCCGCCGAGGCGCCACCGAGGTCGAGCGCGGCCCCGGCGCCTCTTTCGAAGCCAAAGCTGAACGCAATGTCGGGGGAACATCGCCGAGGTCCCGCTGCTACATGAATGGGCACACTTCTCCATTTGGCTAACTGTAGTTTTATTTACAATTTTCTCATTGGTGTTTCACAAAACGCACCTCTTGGAAAATCTGTTAACCAACTAACCAACGCTACCTAAAACATGATCTTCTTGGCGGGGTAATGAAAATAATGGCGGATATATGTATATATTTGTGTGCGTGGATGTGTGTGTATACATATAGATGTGTGTGTTTTTGTGTGCGTGTGTGTGTGTATACATACAGATGTGTGTATGTTTGTGTGTGTATGTACATATGTATATACATATTTATAAATGTGTGTAGCACACACACACACACACACACACACACACACACACACACACACACACACACACACACACACACACACACACATATATATATATATATATATATATATATATATATATATATATATATACCATTTATTAAACCGACCAGCGCTTCGGCAGACGGACTCTCAACAAAACTTTCAACATTGAACATAATAAATCACCAAGAAGAATAAACAGGCGAAAATAAGCTAGCTAGCTAGATAGAAAAAACGCAATTCGTGAACAATCGCAAAACCTGTATATCAATCACTAAAACGTATTAATAAATGCAAACACAAGAAACAGCAAAATGTCTAATATGGTCACCATGCAAAAAAAAAGTCGAATAACAAATTTATACAAAGACTATTGTTTACAAAACCAAAGATCACTGAAATGCACTGTGAATGCACAAGAAAGAAGTGACGGTGTCTTAAGTGATAAAAATACACGAGACGTTATGAAGTCAACTGCACGATCACAAAAGAACAAAACCAACGGGAACATGTGTTACAACGGCTAAGAAAATACACGATTAAAGTGCAATACACATGTTACAAACGGCAAACCAACAGTGATTAGCAAAAATGCTAATTAGCAGTTCACTCATATCCCAGACAGGTGTGTCACCAAGGGAATTGCGGGAAGAGCAACCCGCTGAGCTCTAATTCAACCAACGCTTTTGCCAAAATCATAGACGAGAAGGAAAATCTTTAGGATGTGGCCTGATATGAACGGCTAAATACCACATAAAACATCATCTCGTTTTAAAGTACTACTAGTGATTGGAAATATTCTTCTGGTTAATTAGTTTAATGATTTATTCTTCATTCCATATTACGTCTCATGA